AACAAGCGCCTAAACAATGGCACGAGAAGTTTGACCATGCGATGTTAACTAATGGATTTAAAATAAACGAAAGTGACAAATGTGTCTACGTTAAGGAAACGATAGACGGCTATGTCATTCTCTGTTTATACGTAGATGATATACTCATCGTTGGTAGTAACGATCGGATGATCAAGTCTACCAAAACCATGTTAAATGCGAGATTTGACATGAAAGATATGGGTTTGGCTGATTTAATCCTCGGGATTAGAATCATTAGAAGACCTGATGGTCTTGTGTTGAGCCAATCTCACTATATTGATAAAATCCTTGGGAAATTTATCAAGGATAATCATCAAGGGACTAGGACGCCTCTAGATCGAAGCGTTCATCTAACCAAAAACCACGGAGAATGTATTTCTCAAGTAGAATATACTCGGGTTATTGGTAGTTTGATGTATCTTATGAGCTGTACTAGACCGGATATTGCATTTGCGGTTAGTAAACTCAGTAGATATACAAGTAACCCCGGTGCCATGCACTGGACGGCAATAGTGAAGGTTCTGAGATACTTAAGGTATACTCGAGACCTTGGACTGCACTATGGGAGATATCCTGCTGTACTTGAAGGGTATAGCGACGCTAGCTGGATATCTGACATTAAGGACTCCAAGTCCACGAGTGGCTATGTGTTTACACTAGCCGGTGCAGCCGTTGCATGGAAATCCTCTAAGCAGACCGTGATAGCTAGATCCACGATGGAATCTGAGCTAATAGCCTTGGACAAATGTTGTGAAGAGGCTGAATGGCTACGCCATTTTTTAGAGGATATTCCTAATTGGGAAAGACCTGTACCTCCAATGTGTGTCCATTGCGATAGTCAAGCTGCAATTGGACGAGTACAGAATCATATGTATAATGGTAAGTCTAGACATGTGCGTCGTAGACATAATACCATTAGACAACTTCTCACAACTGGTGTTGTCTCGATTGACTACGTAAAGTCAGAAGACAATATAGCGGATCCGCTAACCAAAGGGTTATGTAGAGTAGCTGTGGAGAAGTTGAGACGAGGAATGGGTCTAAAGCCCTTGGTATAAAGTTCTATAGTGGACACCCAACCTAGCTGGCACCTAGGTTCAATGGGACAACTAAATTATGGAACGGAGCGTGTCACTGTGGGGGTCTCGGATTCCCTACCACTCCTCGTTAGAAACAGTGGCTCCCGCACAAGGTTAGCATGTTAAATGCTTTAGTGATTCGAATGTCGATTGACATATGTGAGTATGCGGGATACTCGGGAAAGAATCACCTATGTGAGAGAGAAGTGAGGGTCGCTTCAAAGGAGAATTGACGGGCACAATTCTTCACAAACTCTTGCAGAACCAAGAATGGTGACCCACAACCAAAATGGGCACAATCATGAGAACAAAGCATTGTTGGAAGGTTCTTGTGTGAGATATGTCATCGTCTACACAAACGGCAGTCGGTTCAAAGACATCGCGTTCTACCGTACAGTCAGTAGAGTAAATGTATCTTCACGAGGGAAGGTTCAAAGGGTGTGACCCTACCTATCCTATGCAGGGATCGACCGTTGAACACAGTTGTTTCCGTTTTAAAACTACCCCCGAAAATCAATTTTCATTCATGTGGGGGATTGTTGGAAAAATTAGCTTAAAATGGCATATTAAATGGCTATTTTGTGGTACAATTATCAGTGGGGTCCACTTCCGATTTGGGTCGGGTCAAAGTGGATTCGGATTCTTCGTAGTAAGACGAAGAGATTGATATATTGTACGCTCAAAACGGATAATGGGTGAATGAGATATTGATTCTCAAAGTAGACCCATTTAAGTTGGGAAATGAAGGGAAAATGTAGGACTTTGTCCCACATTGGTTTGGAAACAAGATTTGCCCCCTTATATACATGAGCTCTTTTCAAGCTTGTAGAATTGTATAGCATAGAGGCTCTCTCGCGCGGGGGGGGGGGGGGGGGGGGGTGCAAATCAAAATCCAACTAGAGGACATCAAAAGGCTTGAAATCAAGCCCGAACTCGTGTGCGCCGGCACCTACGGGCACGAATGTCGTCCGGAAATAGGCTGGCCTTGCGGGCATAAGTTATGCCTAACTTCGGTATCATTTTCCATCTGATATAGTCACTTGGTTCGGTCAAAACCGAACCGAGAGCACCTACTCTCGTGTGTAGCACGAGAGGTTGTGGTGCACCGAGAGCACAACTCTCGTGCATCTGTGACCACGAGAGCAGTGCACTCTCGGGTTGCACCACAGTGCACGCGAGAGATGTACTCTCGTGTTGCTGGTCCGTGTGCTCTCGTGTGAACCTGCACCCCAACGGTCTGAAACCCGAAAGTTTAGCCTGTTGTACAGATTAAACTCATCTGTTACGGAATTAATACTGTTTTAATTCCAATTTTAAATTCTGAGTTTAATCCTACTTAGTGGGTGACTGTTACAGGTGTTATACAATTGGTTTTAATCCCAATTTACTGCCATGTTGAATGCTATCCCTTCCAACGAGCCCTATATAAAGAAGAGGTTGGGCAGAAGCATTTTACACACACAGTGAGAAAAACGAAGGAATTCCAGTATAGTTTTCAGCTTCAAAACTTCTGCTTCTACTCTCTTCTTTCCCCAGCTGTGTTCCAGCTTTGTTTTGTTCGCCGGGCTCTTTGTTTAGGTGCTTAAACAAAGAGTCGTAGCACGTTTTATCCTGGGAAACCTAGGCTACAACGCTCCTAGCACTTGTGGGAGGTAGCAAATAAGGTTTTAAGGAAAAGAACCTTGTGTTCGAACTCGTGCTAAAGCCTTTACCCCAAACACTCAACCTTTTCCTTCCTAGTTTCTGTTTTCCCATATAATATTAATCTTTCCGTAGGATTATTATTATTTTGGGATTTTACAACCATATTACCCAACATAAATATATATATATTTACATACATATATATATATATATATATATATATATATATATATATATATATATATATATATATATATATATATATATATATATATATATATGTATGTATATATGTATATGTATATATGTATATATATATATATGTATATATATATATATATATATACATATATATATATATACATATATATATATATATATATATATATATATATATATATATATATATATATATATAGAGTTAATTCCAGCAAAGGTCCTCCGACTATTGTCATTTTCTAAATTTAGTCATCGTCTTTTAATTTGGACGAATTAAACCCTTGACTATCAAAAACATTCCTTCTTTAGTCCTGCCGTGAAACTAACGTTATTTTGTTGTTTAAATCAGGGGTAAAACAGTCTTTTCATATACTTAGTGTCTTCTTCCTCCATTTCTTGCCATACCATTCTCTGCACATCACCGCACTCAACTTCGCAATGCCTAATCGTGTTAAAGTGGCATCGGAAAACGTCTCGCAAATGGCGCTGTAGATTTCCTGGCAGTCACGGAGGCATCCAATCGACCTTAGCCCCCGCGCAATGGACCGGAGATCATCCAGGACCAAGCTTGTGGGATCAATTTCAAAGCAGAAACCAAGAGAATAGCTACGTGTGGTAAAAGAATATGTAGTGGGACTGGCTGAAACGGTTTGTTTGGTGCTGAGAACATGATTGAGCATGGTTTCGAACTCGTCCAAGAGCTGCCGCCGAACAATCCCAGCTTCCCAGCTCCAGCTTTGCATGAACTGCTGAATTATGTAGTCTACAGCCCAGAGATATTCACGATTTCACTCCGGCAACGTCGGAAGATCATTTTGAGCCTAAAGTTATCGCCTTGTGCACATTTGGGATCATACTTGAGGACAATCCCCCTCGCTCTGTCATCATCCGTCTTTACCACTTCCATTTTTACAGATTACAGTGTTGAAATCGGATTATTTTATGCGATGAAATCTTTTTCTGTATAATATAGGGAGTGAAATATTAGATGCGTGTTCATCTATTTAACTAGTTTTTGTTCTTGATTTCTTGTTCAGCCATTAAAGGGGGCAGAAAAGAAGTCATCGGATCCATTGTTTCAACATATTACAGGACAAAAATGAGGAAGAAGAGGACTAACACGGCTTTACGTATTATAGGTTCTTGCAAGGTCAAGGGTCCAACAAGAATATAGACTTGAGTGCAGAAAATTGCAGGTGTTTACAATTTAGTAAAAAAGCTAGTAGAGTCTATGACGACTCGACCAGAAAATGGTTTAGAACAACTCTACAACTGAGTGGAAAAGATCATTTTGATTGAAATTAAAGATGGTGGAGGCCAGGCGAAGACTTGAAAGCTCGCATGTTATTAGTATGTATGTATTTTTGCTTAGATTTTTTGTCAGACTTAGTGTTTATAAGAAAACTGTTGGACTGACTAATTCTGAAGTTGAAGAATGGAGAAATGACGAGAAGAAACCTAACTAAGAAGAAAAACTATGGAGTTTTAGGTTGAAGACTATGCATTATCGGCATATATATTCCTCCAGGAAGTGAAAGAAGACAAAAAGCATATGAAAAGACTGTTTTACCCCTGATTTAAACAGCAAAATAACGTCAGTTTCACAGAAGGACTAATGGAGGAACAGTTTTGATAGTCAAGGGTTTAATTCGTCCAAATTAAAAGACGAGGACTAAATTTGGAAAATCGCAATAGTCGGAGGACCTTTGCTGGAATTAACTCTATATATATATATATATATATATATATATATATATATATATATATATATGAATTTTGAATCCGGTGAGGTTACCCTAATTAGGTGAGGTCGTGAGGCTCAATCTTGATCGTCCATTGTTTTATTTTAACGGGTCAGATTTGGGGTTTTTTTAAAGTGATTTCCGCTGGAAAAAAAAGGGGTGGGGGCTGTTTAGTAATTTCATTTATTCATTAATTAATTGCCATTGAATACCGAGATATTCTCGGTATCTTCACGGTACCTTCCTTTAATTTAATTTTCTACTCCTTCACTCCACAGAAGACATAGTAGCCGATCTCTCTCTCCCTATCGTGTGTACAGGCGATTCGAATGTTCCGTGGCATACTCCTCGCTCCGGTGGTCAAAGAGGCGGAAGCTATCGTCTTCCGATGGTTTGCAAGGTAAGTTTTTCCTCCTTTTTTAATGGTTTTGATTTGCATTTTTCGGCTAGATAATCTTATGCTGATAAGGATCTCTTCCTTATAAAGTTTCATGAGTTCTTGCAAAATGAACCAACCAAATCAGCGGTTGACGTTTCATCTGTTTGTTATGCTGAAAAAGTGGCTGTTATTCGTAGAAACCTTGGTAACTTGTTCTGACTAATTGATCTGATTTTTTAATCTACTTATTAGGATTTTTTTTTTTTTTTTTTGCTTTACTAATGATTAGTGTTTCCAGGTTCAGTTCTGAGTCATGCTAAATCTTTAATTCCTAGTTTACTAAATGAAGAGGATGTACAACTTTTGAGGTGATTTAGATCTCAATTTTGCAAGCCTGTTATTGCATCCTTTTTCTTTGTATTTTGTGAGACTCTTAGTTGTAGATCTGGTCATTACATGAGTTTTGCTATACTTCCTACTGGTATATTTATTTCTTTATAATAAAATTATATGCCATCTGATCTTTCATTGCAGGGTGTTCTTCACTCAGTTAGAGTCTCTGATTGCTCCTGCTGAAATTGGAGAAAACCGAGTTCAAGTAATTTCTTTCTTCCGATAATGATGTATACCATTCTTTTTATTTCTACATATTTGATTTGTTGCTCAGAAATGTCTTTTCAATTTTCTTAGTAATGGTTATAGTTAACTTGTTTGTCTACAAACTGAACATGTGCTTGAATAGTTGAATTGTTCTATTGAAAGAATTCAATAAAGGAAAAGATGGGTTTAGCATGTTAGAATAAATTATCAATTAGCCCAACATGATGACCGGAATGCTATATGTTGTTTTTTTCATTTTCCCCAATAAATTATGAGATTTATATTAAAAAAAATGTGGTTTTGATGGTAGTTGAGTTTATGTAAATGGGCGTGTGCAAAATCTTAGAGTGCAGCGTTTTAGCTCATTAGATTTTTGGAGTTTGGTTTATTTTCGTTAGTACTTATTTGCTCCTGACATTTGGGTAAATTGTGAAACAGAAAATGGGTGATTTCCTGCATGATTTCACGAGCATGATGGACCAAAATGTTGGGACCAGGTGTGAACTGATAAATTTACAAACCTTGACTTCGCTGATTTTGTTCTCAAAAGCACTGGTTAGCATTATCATGTACATATTACGGTGTATATAATCCCACTTTTTATGCTAAAGATTACATTATTAATTCTCACCATATTTAGTCATTTTGATACAATTACCTTTAAATCCTTCTAATAAAATAATATCCTAAATTAATTGACATTAATCTCTCAATCTAGAACATCCATTGCGTTTGGGTTGATGGATGTGATACGGTCTCATGATCTCACAAATCATAGAGATCTCACTGGATCTGTAGCCATATATATATATATATATATATATATATATATATATATATATATATATATATATATATATATATATGTATATATATATATGTATATGTAGATATTAGATCCAATGAGACCCCTAGTTAGGTGAGATGATGAGATGTAATCCTGAGCATTCATTTTTTTATTTTAACGGTTCAGATTTCAGATTTTTTTATTTGTAAATGGCTGTTCTGTAATATACTTAGGGTAGTTGAGTAATTTTACATACACATTTATTTCTTTCCTTATCAAAATCGTGATATTTTATTTGTTTCCTTGTGCTATATTTTTCTTCAAAGCCGATAGTTGCCTTTTTTTCTCAGTTTTTCTTCTTCTCAAGAGTCGCAGCTGCTCCCCTCTCCTTGCCACCGGCCACCAGCTTCGCGGTCTCCGTCTTCACTCTCATCCCGCCTCAGTCGCCGATCGTGAGCCGCCTCCATCTTCACCACTTTCCAGTCAACGCCTCGCCTCAGGTTCGTAGTCTCGTTCTCAACTTCTCGTTCATACTTGATTGGCCAGAGAGCGAACAAGGAGATCAATTCTGTCGGCAATGACATCAATGTAAGCTACTTCTTGTTTTGCTCGGATACTTCGGTCTCTTAGTTTTACTTTCTTTAATTTGTTTTTTCTAGAAATCAATTTTGCTTAATTACGTTTTCTTGTTGGAGTTTTAGTTCTGGGGATCTCTTGATTGTGATGATGAATTACTAATTATTTTTTCTGTTAAATTAGCATGATTTTCTATGAAAGTAACGATCTCGTGTTGTCGGTGAGTCAGTCGGTCATGGTTGATCTTAGCCTTATCAGCGACTTAGGCCATTTGAGCCTTTTTCTGTTTCACGTTTAGGTTTTGAGGTTAATATCTTAATAAAAGAATTTTCCATAAAGAAGATTAGAATCTGTTGATTAATTTCAATTCCATATTTTCATTAACTATTGGTAATCTGTTTCAATTGGGAATATGAGAAATTATTTGCTGCATACTTTGAACTATAGAAGTACTGTAATACAATTGAGATGGTGTGATGTTAGGGTATCAAAACACACAAAGCTAGTAATGTGTAAAATCGAATGCAATGTTACGGAAATATAATTTGAACAATTAGTATATTCAAAATGAATAGGGGTTCATCTATAGTAGTTTTGCAGTTTTGCTATGCTTTGAAGGATATTACAATTGGGGGGCTGCTGTTTGAAATGTAGTATTAGGATGGTGTGTGCGTAGACAAACATTAGTTTGTGCATTGTACTTGAACGAGTGGTTTTGGCTTGACGATGGTGTTATAATGTATCTGTTTTAGTGTTTGGTTATGGATTTTTAATCGTATTTCCAGATTCATTTTAATTTATCTCAAGGATCAAATGTTTAGATTTTTTTTGTTTCTGGAATGCTAATTTTTTGATCAGGGACGTGTTGACACTGGTTTGTGCGTAGTTGTATGTAGGCATGTGCATTTATATCTATACAGATGTGGTAGGAAAGAAAAATAGTATTACATGAGCTTTTTATTGTTGTTTGAGCTTTTTATTTTGTTTTTCTTTTTTTTTGGTTTTTTTTTTGTTTTTTTTTTGTTTTTTGTTTTTTGTTTTTTGTTTTTTTTTTGTGTGTGTATGAAAGGTAGCTTTTAATCATGGTTGGCTTGTCATGTTCTCATTTATTATAATAGTGTAGATCATATATTTTGTTGTTTTTTTTTTTTTTTTTTTTTTTTTTTTTTTTTTTTTTGGTGTATGAAAGGTAGATTTTAATTGTGGTTGTTTTGCCATGTTCTCATTTATTATAATAGTGTAGATCATATTGTACTGGCAATTAGTGTGTACGTTCTTGGGGTGACGTTTGTGCGTAATTCTGTAATTGTTAATTGGTTGGTGCGTTATAAGTAATAAGATAGTGCGTACTATTAGTGTGTGCATTCTTTGTGTGATGTTTGTGCGTAATACTGTAATTGCTAATTGGTTGTTGCGTTCTAAGTAATAAGCTAGTACGTAATATTGGGCTGCTGGTTTCCCGATTCTGGTCTGTGCGGTGCAGGGGAAAAGTGAGTGCTCAAGAGTATGATGATTTTTTCTTTTACTGTTTTGTGGTATCTTTTGTTGCTAATAGTGCATTAATTTTGGTATGTCTAGGTGTCACGGCTGTAGAGACGGTAGATGCGGTAGAGGCTGCACATTTGATGCTGTCCGAGGATGTTGAAGCACCCCCTGTTCCGCAACCAGACACAAATTCGGATGAGGAGGATGATGGGCTAGACGTGGATGACTTGAAACTATTTCCGCTTTTGAAGATTCGTGCTTCTCCCAAGCAATTGGTCGCACCGATGAGGCTGTTTAATGTTTGTCAGAAGAGAGCTGTGGTCGAGTTGGGGTTAGGAGAGTTGTTAAATCTTCAAATCCACGAAGGTTAATAGCTTGTGCGTATTGTTGTGTTTTTATGAGGGGCAGTAGGTGTGTTCTAGGCCAATATTTAAGTCCTTAAATTAGTCACGAGCGTAACAAATTGATGATTACATAATTGTAATTCTTTTTGACTCCTTGAATATATATATTTTATTTTATTATATTTTTATAAACTTAGTATTCACCTTCTAATTCGTATTCCGTTCATCGAATCCACCTTACCTTATATTGAATTACATCTGTATATTCCACATTACACACACGCACATGCCGACGTGAACAAACGCACACACAAAACTGCTATGGCCCATGAAGCACACTCCGTCATAAACAAACGCACACACCGCATTTCATGCACTAACCACAAAAACAATCATACTGTCTAATTCATTCAATAAGAACATACAAATTCCTTTCACGCACACCCATTATAAAACTAATTTAAGACAAACTACTTCATTCCCGGCACACCCATTATACTACTAATGCCTATGGTGCACACTCCGTCGTAAACGAACGCACACACCAGAATTCATGCACTAACCAAATACCACCCATACCGTCTAATTCATACCCAATGAGCACACAATTTCATTCCACTCACATCCATTATAATAATAATTTTCGGCTCCACAATGAATGTCACACCACACAGGCCAACGTGAACAAACGCACACACAAAACTACTATGGCCCATGACGCATACTCCGTCGTAAACAAACGCACACACCGCATTTCATGCACTAACAAAAAAACAGTGATACCGTCTAATTTATTCAAAATGAACATACAAATTCCTTTCACGCACACCCATTGTAATAATAATTTTCGGCTCCACGATGAATGTCACATCGCATCAAAACCCTCGTAATGCACGTCATGTTAACGCCAACTAAAAAAATGCACCCACCGCCCGTCCCCCAACTACCTACCTACGTAAACATTCTTCTATTTACTAAAAAAACACACACAAAAACGTCCTAATTGTTTCGTGTTCCCCTTGCATATTAATTTAAAAACCGCCACCAACAAAAAACAATGACAACAGTGTAAAATTTAACTACGCACACGCCGTAGGACCTGGATGCACAGACCAACGTACAAAGCTAATTACATACTTAAGTCAGCAACTCTGATACCTGCGCTACTCTCCATCTTCAACCTCTGAAAATTAGTCCCAATCACAAATCAAAAGCTCACGGTTAAACTCCTACAAACATTTTCTAGAATTGACTACAACTTATTTCCATAATATTTGTAATCTTTGATTATGGTAAAGATTCCAATCTAATTCTAACCAAAATTAACACATTAATACAATTACTTTTAAACCCCCCTATTTAAAATATGCCCTTATTTACATTATATTTCTCATTCAATCTCATCCATCCATTACAAATTTATAAATGGATGGGATCTCATCTCACCATCTCATTTAATAAGGGAGTCTCATGGGATCTGCACCCTGTATATGTATATATATATATGTATATATATAGATATGTATATATATATATATGTATATATATAGATATGTATATATATATATATATATATATATATATATATATATATATATATATATATACATATACATATATATATATATAGATATGTATATATACATATACATATACATATATATATATATATATATATATATATATATATATATATATATATATATATATATATATATATATGTATGTGCAGATAACACTTTGGTAATTTCAATTCTAAGTAACAAGCATCAACAAGTTATGCTTAATAGTGCGGTGCACAAAGAGAGATTCTAAACATGTAATACGTTAGAAACACTTGATATGGTTCAAGGATGATATACGTAAAGTTTGGCTCGCATGCAGACGTGGGAACTATCAAACCCAGACAGATAAAGATATGCGATAAATCGTAATCGGGTTAGTTCGCAGTTAGAATAAGCATGCACAAAATAGATGAGCAGTAAGTAAAGTGAGGGAGAGATTTATAGTGGTTCGGAGATGGTGTAATTCTCCTACTCCACTTTTCTCCTTTCACTCCAAGGAGGAAATTCGCTATTATCCGATCACCAAGATACAATAGTGAATAAGTGTCCACCGACACTTCTCCGAGCGCTTCGCACAAAGCTACACTCCTCCAAGATTTTTCGCAAGCTCCTCTTGTTACTCCGCCTTCCCGAGTATTTCGCCCCAAGCTGTACTCCTACACCACGAGAACTACGCACAAAGCTACATTCTCATAGGGTTTTCACAAGCTCCCCTTGTTACTCTGCCCTTTACAACGAGTGATACGCACAAAGCTACACTCAACCAGGATTTTTCACTCTCTCTAGTTACTCCGCACTCTTTCTACACTCTGTAGAGATGTTTACAAGGAAATAAAATATTTCTCTCACTCAGACTTGAATTCTATCGTGTATAGCTCAATATATCACTTGATGATTGATTGGATATTCTTTGTTGTAGAATTCTTAAACCTTCTTGTCTTCAAGTCTGCTTGGGTAATTTATAGCCAAAGAAAGCTATTTGCCCGTTGATCAACTTTCGATCTCGATCGTCCATCTTCGTATGTAGTTGATCAAAATAAAGTTGTCAACTTGATATGAAAAGTTAGGTAGTAGTCTTTTCGCCTTTTGTCAGATGATTTGAATATTTTGGCCGTTGCCGTGTCTTGAATTTTGTAACCTCCAAAATTTGAATAAGTTCAGCGCGGCAAGCTAGACATTTCTTGTCATTCATAAATGTTCTGACATATCAAGTTGATCAAATAATTCATCTGCTGATTCTTGCTTGAGTATGAAAATATATCTCCGTGAATCAGCCTTCTTCGAGCGTCTCCGGTTCTGTGATACCCCGGTTATTTGAGTATTTTGTTATAAATATTATTATTCTAAATAAAATTTTATAAAATAGATATTATGTTAAATAAAACATTTTTACTATACGGTCTGTAATTATATTATTTTATGTGACCCAAAACTATTTAAACTAGTTTGTTACTGCTACTCTTTTATTTCTAAACGGTGTATTATAGCTAATAATTATTTATTTATATATATGTTACGTATGTATATATCTTAAGTACTAGTAGGCTAATATGTATATTAATATTATATTAAGCTTTTAAGTATTTTAGTTCCTTACAACTAGAATTATTATTTATAATACAAGTTATTAGTTAAGTATTTAAGTAGTAGTCTAATTGTTCCAATCCTCATCAGTAGCTGATTCATTAAATCCTCTCCTCTTGCTAACACAATACCGCCGAATAGAAAGGAAAAACAAAAAACAAAAACTTATTCCTCTTTGTCATCGATTCACACTACAAGAATAAACACATTTAGTGACAAATCTTTTGTGACACTTCATAATTTAGTCACAAATAATACTCTTCTTGTGACCAAAAAAATAATTCGACACTATTTTTTGGGATAATTGTGATAACTTTTTTTTTTTGTCACGAATAATATGGTAATTGTGACAAATAAGTATTTGTTACGAATAAGTTGTCACTGTTACTAGAATAATAGTGTCGTAATATACGTTGTCACTATTTTTTGTCACTAAATATATGTGCATTTTGGCGGCATTATAATTATTGCGGGAACAAATGTAATTGTGACAAAATATAATATGGACACAAATTTTTATACTTTTTGTGACAAATAGTTATTGGTCACTCTTGTTTATAATATTTGTGACAACTTTTTTTGTCAATAAAAATACAATTGGTTAGTACCATTAGAAATGAGAAACAATTGTGAGAAAAAACACTGTTGTCACTAATATTGTCATTGTTTGTGATGAAATTGTTACAAATATTATTGACGCTCTATAATTCCGTAACAAAAATTACTAAATTGTGACATAGTTGTGTTGATTTCAAGTGTTGTCACTAATTTATAATAATTGTGATTTCAAATTTTGTCACTAATTTACGAGTAATTAATTGTTACAATGACTTTGTCATTATAATTAAATAGATGAATATCGTGTGAAGTTATGTTGTAATCAATGTTTGCCATTAAAATTGCATTCAAGTTGGTGTCAAGTAATTTGGTGTGAATTTGGTATTAAATTTTATATATGATCACTCATTTTTAAATGTTCTTATGTGACAGATAAGTTTACTAGCACTTATTTTACTAATTTGACATATCAATTTTTTTGGATGCTTCTTTTTTGGACAAATGGTTGTATCAATATGATTGTATTAAATATATAATATAAAATTAATTATATACAATAAAAATTTGCTTATGGACCAATTAATCGAACTAGTTAAAGTATAATTTAGTTTGGCTGATTAGGTAACAATTTCTCAAAATTAAAATTCAATTAGTTTGATTCATAATTAATCAAATTAATTGAATTATTACTCCTAATCACATTAGCCGATTATTTGTACATTACGAGTCATCATCTTAGTATAATTTTTTTACAAGATGGTTGTATCAAATATATAATATAAAATTTATTATACATAATAAAATATTGATTAATTCGACCAATTAATTGAAACAATCAAAGTATTAATTTGGTTGATTAGGAAACAATCTCACCCACATGTAATTCAATTTTAAATAATCAAATTATTGAACAAGTTTAGTCTTTTTGTTATTTATGTACATTACCAAAAAACTAATAATTTAAAATATTAACTAATACTCAAATATTCCTTTTTGTTATGTATTATTCCTTTAATAATTATTTAGTAAATTTGGAAAGTAAAAGATAAAAAAGAAGATCTCATCTCATTCTTTCACTCACGTAGAAGAAACCCTCATCTCTCCCTCACTGCCCATCTTACTCCTTGGCAACGAAAAGCCCATGGTGAAATCAAAGAGAAATCCTATTTTAGTCGTACCATTCGATGACGGTCGAGAACCTTGCGGCATGGAAGAATCTGGTCAATCAAAGGCAACCAAAAATCAAACACCTTCGCAATTGTATTCTTGGAACACCTTGGGTCAAAATCAACATGACTCAGAAGGTAACCCTTTAGATTAGACTAGTATTTCATATGTTGTAGAACCCACTCCCCTGTGTATGCATATGTTTGCTTTTGGTCTTGGTAATGATTTTAATGAAGATTTTTTGTTGGACTTGGGGCTTTGCAAATAAATAAATGATCATATAGACAAAAAAAAAATGATAAA